GGCATTTAAGCAAAAAGGAAACAGGCAAAATAAAAATCTCTGAACTTCTCATCATAAAGATGGTTGGTTACTCCTTAAATTCTAAAAGATACCTAACTGCCATAGCCAAAGTCACTACAAACAGTAGAGATTCCTGTCCACTCACAGTATTTGAAGGCAGGCTTCCTTGTCATTAATTCTAGCCTTTCAATAGAAGTTATATAATAAACAGTTTCTGCGTTTCAGGCAGGGAATATTTTGGAGCAACACGCGGACATGTTGGCTACCTTAGAAACATAGATGTTGAGTATACCCAGCCACCAGCTCTAATTATTACCCATTCATCCAAATTATCATGACTCCACTGACTCTTACCTATCCCACTCATCTGAAAGTGAAAATCACTGGGTCGGGGTAGGGAAAAAGTGGAGAGTGGGGAGAAAGACTTAAAACATTATGGAGAACACACTGGGCTCAGAAAACTGAATGAGAAATTAGGAACTCCAAAAAACAAATTAGAAAATTGGGAATCATTTGGACCCACTCTTCTGGATTATGGACAAGCAAACACTACTGATAACTGGTCTGCTTAAGAGTTAATACTCCTGTAGGGGCACGTGGGTGGCTCAGCTGATTAAGCATCCAGCTCTCAGGGTCCTGAGATGGAACCCCTTGTTGGCCTCTGCACTCAGTGTGGAGTCAGCGGGAGATTTTGTCCCTCTCCCTCTGTCCCTCTCCTTGTTCTCTCTCAAGTAAGTAAGTAAGTAAATAAATAAATAATTTAAAAAGAGTTAATACTCATATATACAACTGAAACAAATGTTTCATCAATAACACACAGCAGCATACTTTGATATTTTCTATTTCTATTCTATTCTTTTTCAGTAAAAAAAAAAAAAGTGTCATAACCAGGGATAGGTCACAACTGTAGTCTGAAAAACACTGCCAAAGAATAGCAAGCAGCTTATGTGCATTAGTATTAGTGCTATTTTAGCTTCGTGAACTTCAATGTCATATTTTGACTCCATGTTACTGGTTAAAATTCTAAGATGCTGCATTTGTTGAAGAGAACAGCATCTTTCCAGCCCTCTGTTTGCACATTTCTTGGAGTTCTGAATTAGACACAGGGCAGTCATTCCCTCTAAGCAAGCAAGTTGGGGCTACATTACACATAAGTGTTTTCTAAATCATACGTGGATTCTTGCAGACTTGCTTATTGGTTTTTCACTGTCTTTGACTACAAGAGCCTTCTTTTCTCTCTTCTAGTTTCTTTTTCTTATTTCAGGCAAATTCTTTTTAATTTCAACTTTATTCCATTAACTAAATCTTATTTAGAAATACAAGGATGAACAAGAAAATCTCCCTTACCCACAGAGTAACTAGGAGAAAAATCAAACAGATGTAATAGAGCAAGAGGTTGAAGAGAGGAACATACAAGGTTTCTTAGGCAGCAGGGAAAGAAGGGCCCACCTGCCAAGGGGTGGAGTTGGTTTCTCCAAGGAGATGTTTTTGGGAGAGAAAGTACCAAACTTTGCCTGGGATGAGGTGGGAGCTGGCATTCCTAGAAGAGGAGACTGCATGGGTCAAGACATGGAGGTGGAGAGAACACGTAATTACATTTTTTCTGGAGTTCTGATAGAGTGATGGGAGGTGAAAGAGGCTCAGCTAAAGCAGGAGGTTAGCTGAGGGGCCCACTCTGTACACCAGTGGGTTGTGGAGAGCCACCCTGGTGACTCCATGCTCTCACTGTCTATTCCCCGGGAAGAAGCAAGGAGGGATAGGTTCAGATTTCAGGGTCTCAGTCTTAATTACTTTCTTTTTTAAAAAAAGATTTTATTTATTTATTCATGAGAGACACAGGCCAAATATCTTATTGAGACATAAGTAGAGGGAGAAGCAGGCTCCCTTGGGGGGAGCCCAGTGTGGGACTTGATCCCAGAATCCTGGGATCATGACCTGAGCTGAAGGCAGATGCTCAACCATTGAGTCACCCAGGCATCCCCTTAACTCCTTTATACTAGAGTGATAGCCTATCTGAAGCCTGGAATTGTACCTGGAATGGCCAGGTCCAGGGTGCGGCATGGACTCAAGGGACATCAGAGGACTCCCAGACATATAGTTCATCTATGGCCCAGCACTTGCCAGGTAGCTGAAACTCATGTCCATGCTATGCTCTGATCTTCAACAGGGATTAAATGGAATTGCAGGAATAACCCATGAAAAGAAATATCCCTTTTTACTAAGGCCTCTTTTCAAAAGTACCCCTTCCAGGAAAGATATTGCAAATAGTTTAATAACTTCAAATTATTCTCATCCCACCCCTAGATCCTAAAGATCAAGCAGATAGAGTTGTTAATAATAGACATGAAAATAAATGTCTTGTGATATCCTCATTTTATAGTTCTCATTAATTATTACTGCTCAATAACAAATTTAGGTTTATGATTATTTTTAATACTAAATGTGAAAGTCACCAAAGAAATAATTGAATGTCAGGGTTGGGAGATCCCTTTGAGCTTATTCTGGTTTATCTCTCTCATTTTACAGTTGAGGAAGGGGAAGGGCTAAATAACTTTATGTGAGCTGCCCCAAACAATTTTATACCAGAGAATTAAAATCAACCAAAAAGCCATGACTCAGCATGACTTACCTTGTTCGTAGATGCCCCTTTAGTCTCTTAAAAGTGTGTATGCATATTCCCATAGTAAAATTTGTATCATACTGTTTATGTTTTTGTATCTTGCCTTTTTCACTCAATATATTTTGAGCTTTCCCCCAAAGTCTTTAATTGGTATTCATATAAGCTACATATTCAAATATTTAATCACTGTTATCTCATTGTATGTATACACGATCTTTTGTTTGACCTATTTATTTCCGGTTCTTGGGCATTTAGGTTGTTTTGGGTTATTGTTGTTATTAGAAATAAACACCTTTATACATAAATCATGACTTCTCTCTGATTATTCCTCAAGGGGAGAATTACTAGTTTAATAAAAGGGGGTAGATGCATTCAAGACTTCTGATACATACTGCCAAGCTGATCAGCCCAGGAAAGTTTTTCAGATTTGCCATAAGCAATAGGTTTCATATCTTTTTTGGAATCTTAGCAATACTGGACCTAATAGGTCCGTCGTTCCAGCTAACTTAGAGTTCAAATTTGTCCATTTAGATCATTTAAATCATTTCAACATTTAAATCATCTTAATCATTTAAAACACAAATGATTGTAATCATTTAAAAATATTAATAATGATGATACTCTTGGCTTCTTAGGAGGTCTTCTCTGTTTTTTTTTTTTTTTTTTAAAGATTTTATTTATTTGTTCATGAGAGAGGTAGAGAGAGAGGCAGAGACACAGGCAGAGGGAGAAGCAGGCTCCATGCAGGGAGCCCTATGTGGGACTTGATCCCCGGACTTCAGGATCACGCCCTGGGCTGAAGGCAGGCACTTAAACCGCTGAGCCACCCAGGGATCCCTAGGAGGTTTTATTCTCAAATTATAAATTTAGCTGTTAAGAGCTAATCGAGAAAAGTGGGATTAAATGGCTAAGGATCAGATGAGAAATGTCCAGGAGGTCTCCTGTAGGGGTCACTGTTACTGTCAATTTATGCCTGCAAGGAAAGAAGTGCACATTTAAGAATGTAAGCACATTCATTTTTAATGTCTGATTCGTTCCCATTCCCTGAACCGTAAAATAAATAATAAGACCTTGAAGCCAGACAGCATCACAATGCCAACTTTCTTCTATAATGACAAATACCACTCTTTCCACTCAATATGCTCTTTAGTTTGAATTGATGGAATATATGCCACTCATATGAAAGGCACTTATGCCTGCTTTTTAATAGAGGAGGCATTAGCTAATTGCCTAACGCCATAAAGTGTTTACAGGCGTACAGTGACTTGAAGAGGGGAAGGACAAGGCATTCATTGCTGTGGACAAGATCCATCCCTCCACTTTCCCATTTCTGCTTTTCCCGTGGACCCCTCTCTCTCTCTGCACTGTGTTTCAGAAAGCTATCTCCACGGAAGACAAAAACCAGATGTTGTAATGTGCATGCAACTGTAGCATTTGAGGACAAAGAGGTGCTTTTCAATTTTTTTTTTAAGTTTTTATTAAGCAGCTCAAACAGATCCCGACGTCCCAGGAGCCGGGTCAGTGTGGCTGTGCGGACACACCTTTGCAAGGCAGCGGCGGTCGGGCTTCAGGGCTGGGGCACGAACGAGCCAGGTGCTGCTGCAAACGTGTCAGCCAGCCCTCTCTCTACAAAGCAGGAGTCATTCCCCTCACAAAATGCAAAGTAGCCAGCCGTGTCCCATTTCCCCATCCCCAGCCGTCCTCACCAGGTGCTCCGACGGAGGGGCCGGGAGGATATTTACTCTCTGCTCAGGCGTGCTCCTATTTAATTGAACCCAGCGGCAGCTGCCTCCGTGAGCGCGGTGCCTGCGGGGTCAGGCTGCCCAGCGGACCAACCGCTTAGGCCAAACCCGAGCTGGGCTGAGGCATCCGGGAAGCGGAAGGAGCCCGTCTAGGAAGCCCAAGGGTGTGTGGTCGTGTCGCTCGTGTGCAAGCCTCAACTTCGGTGCAGGTGGAGAGCTCGACCTCGCCCCGGTGCTCTGCGCCCCGCCGCGGACGCTGGGCTCGGTCCCACTCTTCTTGCAGCTGGCAGGAGCGGAGGCCCAAGTTGGCGAAACTCGCTCACCTGTCGGAGCCCGCACCTGGGCAGGAAGCGGGGCCCTGCGGCCGGGGCGCGCTGGTTACCGCAACCTCCGCCGGCCGCCCTCCCGGTGCAAGGACCACACTGCCAGGGAGGCAGGTGTGGGGGCCACTCCCAGAAACTCCAGGCCTCTGCCCCCCAGCTCCTTGCTGCCCCCAGGCACCCTCGGTTTGGCGCACCCCGAAGGCCAACTGGGGTAGACGCCAGGGCTGCAGGTCCGAGACGCTCCGCCTCCTTCTGCCACTCGAGCCACTAGCGCCAGCGGGAACCCGTGCGCTCAGTCTTCATCTGCGGCCACTTTCGGAACTTTCCAGGCAAAGACTAGCTAGGCCCTTTGCCTCCAACCGACGCCGTGCCTGCCGCCCGCCTGGGACCCCACCAGGGCCGGGAGATCCCGCTCTCCCCCCCGCCCCACCGCCGGGCACCGACGCCCCAACTTTTTACGCGCGGTCTGCGCCGCACGACTGGCTGTCGGGCTCCTGTCCTAAGGGGCGTGCGCATCTTCCGCGTGCCGGCCGCGCCGCGTCCTCTCGGCTGGCCGCCCTGCTCCCGGGACCCGCTGAGGGGCTGGTGTGAGCCAGGATCGGCCGGGCCCTCGCCTGTTGCCAGCGCTCCGAGTCCATCCTCGGGGAGGGGCCCGAGTCTCCAAAAGTCAGGGCAGCCCTGTCCTTTTCCTTCCGCACGCGGGCGCGTGTGGCGGGTCGGCGGGGCGACCGCCGGCGGAGGAGCGGGGCGCCGTCGGTGCAGCGCGCCATGGCGGGCTGCTGCTGCTTGTCTGCCGAGGAGAAGGAGTCGCAGCGCATCAGCGCCGAGATCGAGCGGCAGCTTCGCCGCGACAAGAAGGACGCGCGCCGCGAGTTCAAGCTGCTGCTGCTGGGTGAGTGGCTGCGACTCCGCGGCCCCGCTTCCCGCGCTCGGGTCCTTCTTGCCCCCTGGGGGCCCGCGGGCCGGTCCCTCGGGGGCCTTACGCGCTCTCCAGTTGGGCGACTTTAGAAGGCACCCTTCCCTACCCCCAAACAGACGAGACGTAGCCTGCGATCAGGTCTGGCCTTGTTTGCTCCTCTCCCCCAGATCCCCTGCACCCCATCCTTCTGCCCCCAGCGCGCACGGCTTCTTCAGAGCCTGGTCTTGCACGTTGGGGCAGGTGGTGGGGAGCTGCCTGGTGAACACGCAGCTCGAGCTCTGTTTTAAAGTAGTGCGGTTGAGTGAGCGCTTACCGAGTGTGGACTGTGCTCACTTGTGCTCGCATCACTGCGCCATAACCTGGGAAGGTCGTAACCTCTCCCCATCCTGGAGAATTAAAAATGAAGGCCCCGAAGATTGGTAAATTTGCTTTCGCGAAAGACAAAGCAGATACCGGATCAGTAGTGGGGGGACGTCCCAGCCCTGGCCACTCACCCTGCTGTGACCTCAGTCACCTCCTTTTGGTGACTGGCCTGGCCTGGCCAGTGTTTGTAGCAGGCCCAAGCCTCCCCGCTCAGCTTCCGTCTGGGTGTGCGCCTTCCTGGAGTTCGGACTTGGTTGCCCCAGCTGCGTTGACTAGTCACTCATCTGGCTCTTAACTCTCCAAAACAGAGAAAATGTTAAGGCTTGCCCAATTTATGTCCCAGGGCAAGGATCTCACCTTTTCTGACTTTCTAGAATCCAGTTCAATCCATTTGCTATCTGAGAAATATTTACCTTTTCCTTCAGACAAGGATATTAGCAGTTAGATCTTTCTAGATAGTTCCAAGTGTTTCAACTCTTTCATCCCTTCCAGACAGGAATCTTGCCTTGTACCACTTTATTAACCTTGAATATTAGGAGTCACCCTCCCAGAAAGCTTCAAGGAAAGAAAAGTTGATCTAGTTAGAATAAAATGGAGAAAGCTTTTCATCAATATTGGCTACAGGCCTGGGCAAAGGAACCGTTTTTACATTTATTCCCCACCGGGATTTAAAGGGTGTATATGGGGATGTCTGGCCTTCACCAGGCTGTGTGTCTCCCCACTGGGCTAAGTGTCTGCAGGTGGGGGGACTGCCCACCCAGAATACATGTTGTCCCCTCCCAGACTCCCATGGATTCCTGGCCCCAAGCCTGCTTCCAAGGCCTCTGCAAACGGGGGAGGGGGCAGACCTCATCCCTGAGGAGTGGCCAAAGGGCAGCTATGGTGAGGTGATGGAAGAGCTTGGAAATGTGGACTGAGGATCTGCAGGTGTGCCCCAAGGCCTCCCTGAGGGAAGAGGGAGCCTGGGTTGGGGAGGGAAGAGATCGTGTCCATTGGCAGGGCTGTTGAAACAACCTGTGTCTGGCCCAGAACCCCCAGGGGTCTGCAAATTCTAAATTGTGCCTGGCCTTCCAGGTTGTTGGAACGCTACCTTTGTCAAGGGAGCAGGATTATGTGACAGTTGGCTAGGTTGATGACCTCCTTTAAGCAATTATGTGGGCCTCCATTTGTACTCTTGCCCCAGGCCCCACAAATGATGGGAGTGGGCCTGGCTTTGGTTGCACACTTTTTCTTTTCAAAGGCAGTCTGTACCTTCTTTCATTGTGGCGTATGTTGATTTGTGCCAGTGTATGAGGTACAGTGTCTGGAACACACCGGGAGCTTGACAAAGGTGGTATGGCTCAGTGTGCAGCCAACCTGGAGAACAAGCCTACTTTCTGGGAGTAAAATGCTTATATTTACACACAAAGTAAGGGAGAAATGTTTGTAAGGTAAATTGTTTGCCCTGGAGGTCATGTTTAATACCAGCGACTAGATCTGCGTCTTTGCCTCCCCCAGGCCTTTGCCCAAACCCTCTTCCTGCACCCTCCAGGCACTGCCTCATCTCCCAGGATCCCCATTTTCATTGTGTACCGCTGTGACTAGCATACTGGCTCAGTGCTACTTAAAAACCAAAGAAACAGTTGCCAAACCACGTAGAGCTGTCAGGAACCCCTAGGAAGGTAAGGGAGCCTGGCCCACTTCCATTTCTCCCCAAGATTAAAGAGGAGGCAGTGACCTCAAAGATAAAGGAAACAGGACATGGGGCAGCCCCGGTGGCACAGCGGATTAGCACTGCTTGCAGCCTAGGGCCTGATCCTGTAGACCCTGGAGTCCCACGTCAGGCTCTCTGCATGGTGCCTGCTTCTCCCTCTGCTTGTGTCTCTGCCTCTCTCTCTCTTTCTGTGTCTCTATGAATAAATAAATAATCTTAAAAAAAAAAAAAAAGGAATCAGGACATGGTATATGCTGTTTTGTCCCAAGTTGTGCAGTCTGAGTGCAAAATTCACCTGAGTCTCCATAATGGATGAATTAGATAATCTGCTCAGATGCCTCCGGTGAAAACTCCACTTTGCGAATGGGAGTTAAGCATCCTGTGTGGAGTGTGGAATGACTTGAAAAGCCACCAACTCTTTCACAGGAAGCATGATTTTTGCAACAAAATAATTTGAGGAGGTTTCTGAAGTGCATTCAATAGAGCAGTATCCTGTTTACACTTAATAAAAGCACAGGTCAGTGTCCGCAGGGAAAGATAAAAGCTGCTATCTGGTTTGGGCTAGTAATTGCAAGATGTCAGTGTGATGCCTTTAGCTGAAGGAGATTGGGTGGGGGGGAGGGGGAGGCGGAGAATAAAGATGATTGAATTTAGTAGAAAGAAATTCCTTATCAGTTCCTCAGATAAAAATAGGACCAAAAGGAGTTCTGCTGAGAACCCTGGTGAGTACTATTCAGTGCAGGAAGAAAGTGTTTGGACAGTAGCAATTAAATGGGATCTTTATTTTTAATATTAAATGAGGTTTAGTGAAGTGTTGCTGGTTAATAGAGTTGAGTGTTTCCAGAAACTGATGGCTTAATTTTGGATGCAGGCCTCATGTTGGAACTGTCTGGAAGGAATGTATACTAGGGAATTGGTATTTAATTTATGCTGACATAGGGATTAAAAATGTAAGCTCTGAGACCAGACTACCTGGGTTCAAACCCTGGTTGTACCCTTTTTTAGCCATTGTCTAGCTTCACTTGGGTTTGTCTGGTAGTGGTGTCAGCTATATTCACTCGATTTTTGAGTATTTTTAGCCAACAGTGAGGTGTTATTTTCTATTTTAGTTGATCAGTTGCAGGTTGCATAGCAGTTTGTCTAAAATGTCTTAGTAGTGCTTTAACAGTAATGTTTTACTTCGAATTTCCCTTATTTTCTGAGCCATAAGAGATTTCAGAGTCTCTCTTCCTACTTACATCGAAATAGGTGAAGATGTGAGTTCCCTAAAATCCTATTGCATCGGTTATAGCAAAATCTCACTTGGAGACTAATTATCATGTTCCTAGGCTGGAAATCTATTAGAGGAAATAATGTAAGGAGGGTGGTTTTCTCAGAAAATGACAAAATTTTAGCTCTATGAAGAGGAAAAGGAGTGAGATGGTTAAGTATGCCTCGCTCCTTTATTCTTCACTTGGTTCAATCCAACACTTCCCAAGTGCCAGGCACTGCTCAGTGCCAGGGATCTTTTGTAGGTGAAGTACTAAATTGGAGGTGTTTGTTCACAAGTCCTTGGGGGCGGGGGGAGGACGCCTGGGTGACTCAGTGGTTGACCATCTGCCTTCAGCTCAGGATCCTGGAATGCAGATAGAGTCCCACATCAGGCTCCCTGCATGGGGCCTGCTTTTCTCTGTGCCTCTGTCTCTGCCCCTCTCTCTCTCTCTCTCTCTGTGTCTCTCATGAATAAATGAAATATTTTTTAAAAAGCCCTTCGAGGAGGCAAATTTTCATTGAGCTTCTTCTTGGCTTTTTATGTGAATATTGTGTTCACTACAAAATAGATGTTAATATAAAAATGCTTCATTTTTGGTCCCATAATGTGCTTCAGAATAGGGGACTGTGTGACTTCATCTGTGGCTTATGTTCATTCTGGCTGGAGTAAACTAACCTCACTAGGTAGTCTGCTTCCGTCCATGACACAGCAGTTCTGAAGACATCTCAAGAAGCTCTTCCTTTCGCCTTTAATACAGAGCCTTTTCATTTTTTAAAAAAATATTTATTTATTTATTCACAGAGAGAGAGGGAGGGAGGGAGAGGCAGAGACACAGGCTCCATGCAGGGAGCCCGACGTGGGACTCGATTCCAGGTCTCCAGGATCACACCCCGGGCTGCAGGCGGTGCTAAACTGCTGTGCCACCAGGGCTGCCCCTACAGAGCCTTTTCAAACCATGGACTTTCACCCTTTGTACATCTTCAAATAAAGTATGTTGAGGTATAATTTATATCCAATGTAGAACTCTGGATATATGATGTTGTGTCCTCTGAAAGTCCTCTCTGGAGGCATACCATGTCCATCTGCCCCTCATTGGTGATGTTAAATTCAGTCACTTTTCAAGATGCTGCATGTTGTCTCTACTGCCTAACAGTTTTGTAGGGAGACACTTTTTAAGGCTAGGCAAATATCCTGCTCCTCACCAAGCTATGCTTCTAAATTTAGTAGCCATTGATAATTCCTGATCACATGTATACCATGATGGCTACAAAATGATTTTCCAAGTCCTGCACTCTCCACATTTACCATTTGGCACTGGATAATTTACATGAAAGAGCCTTCCTATCACCCCTATTTAATATCAGTACATATTCATGATTCATTGTCTTTTACTTCATCACTGTGCATAACTGTTTTGACACTCAAATTGTACTTCCTTTGTGCGATGAGACACCCTTAAGGCAGGTTCTTGTGCCACTGCAACATGCTGCATCAGTTTTTTTGAATACTTTCTTATTCTGGCATAAAGATGAGCCTGGAGCTTCAGTGACCACCCTTCCCAGATGGGAAGTCAGCCATTTCTCTACAGGGCCTTGGTTACTTTTGGTGGCAAATAGCACCCTTTAGGATGTTTAGGGCCCTGGAAACAAAGATAGCAAATACACA